GAGCTATTTCTATCTACAGAGGGAGCGGGTCCTCTTCTACGGACTCCGCCATGTTGAACCGCCATATTTGTACAGTAGCCCAGAGCAGACAAATCTAACACTGACTGTAGATATGGCATTTTGTGTTTTTCGCTGCCACCTTAGATTCTTCCACGTTTGGAAGACGAGTTGGGTCAATCTGCAATTTTGCGAAATGCCAATAAATCTTATCCTACACTGGGCCTTTAAATGTAGTTTGAAATCTAATTAACTGTATGCATAAATATTTATGAAGTGTGTAATATGATTTTGAGGGATGTTTTTATTTAGTTTATTTGTCATTATCATAACTTTTAAAGCCCTTTTTTTCCATTTGAATGCCATTTGAGTCAATTTTAATTGCTTTGATAGCACTGCACTGCTTCGTCAAAACTAAATACATGAAAAGAATGAAGAAAAAACAGACAAACTTTATAGCTCCGTTACGTGCTTCTGCATACTATGATTACCTTCTAACAGTACAAGTAGACGAGCATTTTAGGTAGCGTAAGGTAAAAGTAGCCTATTGATACTTTGGCTGTATCATGACCTTTGAAACTATGTTTGATGTTTACAATAGACAGTTTGACACATTCACAGGTTTCAGCAGTTCATATAGTAAATGTCCAGAAATATAAAAATAAGACGCAGGTTGTAATATACCAGAATGATCCTTTATAGGGATATTGCACTGGTATCACACAGCAAATGGAGGGCCAGCTGTAGTGCTTACTGAGTCGACATTACATTTCTGTGTAGGTGCATTTTCTCTCCAACCCTATCATGGACAATCAGAGAGGATGAGATATAGTGTATCTTCCTCAGAATCACTCCTTGTCTCTCTCAGAGTAAAATAACATTTAGCTTCAGCAGGGCAATTGAGATCAGAGCCCCTGACAAAGATGCTCTAATGGTGTTTGGAGCGGAGATTGGATCTGGAGCAACGCAGCAATGAGGCCCGAGATGGACTGGAAGTTTCCTCCTTACTGTGTTGTCTGGGATCGATAGCTCTATCTCCTCGCTCTGACCTTGGGTTGACTCCAGCATTAGAGCGGTTAGCGTTGGTCAGCTCGGCTTCTGTTACAATTAGCAGGAAGCTTTATCCTACATTGGCATAATCCCCCCGCATAGGCACACAGGGGTCATGTTACACACAGCTTTTCCTCCCTCTGAAGCTCTGGAGGAATCCATTAAAATTGCTCAGCTGGAAATTCACATCTCACTCGTGATGGTTTCTTGTTGAAAGATGGCATGATGGGTGGACAGTGAAAAGAAGGGGAGATAAAAATTGAGGGTGGAGAGATAAGGCTTGGGTGAGCTGGAGGTTAAAGGGTGAAGTCAGTGTTACCACAACCTCACACATCTCCGCTGACCTTTGCTTCAACCCAGGGGAATGTCATCAGAGCTGGCCTTGTGTGTGTGTATTTGTGTGTAAAGGCTGATTTCTTCAGGTTCTGTCACAGTCTGGAGACCGTTCTGACCTGCAGACAGCAGGGCAGGTTGTATTTTGTTCTTAGGGTACAGTGAGATTTATTGATACAGTATTGACTGAGTTACTGGCACAGCTTTAACCTGATAGGTTGCATTGTCAGCGTTTACTGCTCCTGTTCATTTCCAAGAAGTCACATTTTTCAAAAAAATCATAGAGAACACATTTCAAAGTTGTACATTTTCTTTTAACAAACCCTCAACAGAATTTATAATTTCACATGATACAATTGAATTGAATGGAACACAGTTTCTTAGTAATTTTTTAAGCAATTTTTTTCATTTTTTTTCAAGTAAAAAAAACAACTTTAATCTAGCTGTTAACCATCGATTTTGTTGCCCAAAATGATGTTTTTTTTTTTAAAATGTATCAGCTATCCCGTGTAAGATAATGCTAATGTTAAGTCCCTGTAAGTATGTTGAAAATACACGATATGCTAAAGGAGAGGAGCAAAGTTTGGCTGGAACTGCTGGAGTGTAAACATCCAAAAAACAAATATAGAGCCGGACATAAGGCCTATTGTAACTCCTGACTGTGATGTACTCATACTTTTCATCCCACACAGTTGATGTTCCCGTCCTGAACAAGTATTTTCCCAAAGTAACTTCACAAATTAATGAAGTAAACTAATGACATCACCCCTTGCCTTGGGAAATAATTCAGGTACTACTTCAGGTAGTAAGTTATTTAGCTGGACAGGCTAATGTTTGCAGCTAGCTACATTAGTTACATCCTTTAAATTTGGCACCTTTTTGGTTTTGTATAAACTAGGGAAAAAATGACAACATTCTTTATTTATCTCTTCCATAATGTCTTGCATTTGTTGTTTGTTGTATCTTTAAATTAGGTAGTTAGCATTAGCCAAGTGGCAGTCATTAGCTTAGGCTTCGTTGTGGCTAGCGTGAAGAGTTTCCTGTTGGGGTTTTTTTGGTTTTGAGTTTGTCATGTTATCTATGTATGGCTGTTTTTGTATGTTGTCAAATAGTTACTTTTTCAGATGAACATCAAATGTTTTCTATGTTCTGTCCCTGAGACCTCAGTTAGTTTTAATTAATTTGGACACACCATGTCTCTCAGGACATACAAAGACAAGAAGGGAGGGCCGAAATTACTCTTTTCAGTCAGCTGCACAGATTCATTTGCAATTCATATTGAACTCGTTAAGGGACGCTTTTAAATTCATACCCATACATTGGTAGCTTTGTCCTACAATGACACAGCACATGGTGCTACTTGTGTTTTTGTGTTGGTACAATGGAATATAATTGCCATGCAAATCACAGAAGAATGGCTGCCAAAACATTTGATGTTGAGCAGGATTCAGTGGGCGGGAATTAGCAGCAAACACAGATAGGCAGATTTTCAGATGAATCAGGTTTGTTGATCTGCAGGAGGGGAATCACATATTTTATATTTATGGTGTTCTTAGTCATGTTTTTGCACTGTGAAACATCATGCTGAAGTGTGCA